CCAATGACATTTTTCACAGAAATAGAACAAACAATCCCAAATGCTTTCTGGAAACATGAAAGACAGTGAATAGTCAAAGCAATCTTGAGAAAGAATAACAAAGCTGGAGGCATTATACGCTCTGACTTCAAACTATATTACAAAACTATAGTAACCAAAACAGTATGGTATTGGCATAAAAACAGACACAGATCAATGGAACAGAAAACAGAGCTATAAAAAAGCCCATGCATATGTGGCTAATTAATTCATGGCTATTAATTAACTAACAAAAATAGACAATTGGGAGAAGATAGTAGCTTCAATAAATGGTGTTGGAAAAACTGGACAGCCACATGCAAAAGAATGAAACTGGACCCCATCTTGCATCATATACAAAAATCAAGTCAAATGGATTAAAGACTTAAACATAAGACCCAGAGCTTTAAAACTCCTAGAAGAAAACATAGGCAATAAACTCCTTGACATCTGAATTGGCAAGTTTTTTTTCTTGTTTTTTTTTTTTTTTTTGATTTGACACCAAAAGCAAAGGCAACAAAAGCAAAAATAAACAAGTGGGACTACATCAAACTGAAAAGCTTCTGTACTGTAAAGGAAACCATCAACAAAATGAAAAGGCAACCTACTGAATGGGAGAAAATATTTGCAAATCATACATCTGATAAACAATTAATATACAAAATACATAAAGAATTCATATAACTCAATAGCAAAAAAAAAAATCTGATTTAAAAATGGGCAGAGGAGCTAAACAGACATTTTCTTCCCAAAGAAGACATACAGATGGCCAACAGGTACATGAAAAGGTGCTCAAGAACTTCCCTGGTGGTGCAGTGATTAAGAATTCACCTACCAATGCAGGGGACATGGGTTCAACCCCTGGCCTGGGAAGATCACACATGCCGTGGAGCAACTAAGCCTGTGCACCACTCACCACTACTGAGCCTGCGGTCTAGACCCCGCGAGCCACAACTACTGAGCCTGTGCACTACGACTACTGAAGCCCACGCACCCTAGAGCCCGCGTGCCACAACAACTGAGCCCACGTGCTGCAACTACTGAAGCCTGTGTACCTAGAGCCCGTGCTCCACAACAAGAGAAGCCACCACAATGAGAAGCCCACACGCCTCAATGAAGAGTAGCACCTGCTCATCACAACTAGAGAAAGGCCATGCGCAGCAAACGAAGACCCAATGCAGCCAAAAAGAAAAGGTGCTCACAGTTATCAGGGAAATACACATGAAAACCACAATGATATAATTGCTGCCATTTTCAACAACATGGATGGACCTTGAGGACATTATGCTAAGTGAAATAAGTCAGAGAAAGACAGACAAATACCATATGGGTTCACTTACCTGAGGAGTCTAAAAACTAACAAACAAAAAACAAAGAAAACCAAATCATAGATACAGAGAACAGTTTGTGGTTGCCAGAGATTGGGAGTGAGAGGTGAGCAAAATGGATAAAAGTGGTCAAAATATACAAACTTCTTATTTATAAAATAAGTAAGTCCTCAGGATGTAATGTACAGCACAGTGACTATAGTTAATAATACTGTATTGTTTTTTTGAAAGTTTCTAAGAGACTAAATCTTAAAAGTTCTCATCACAAGAAAAAAATTATGTTGTATACCAAGACTAATATAACGTTATATGTCAATTATATCTCAATAAAAAATAAATAAAATAAAGTAGTGAAGTCTTCAAGAATCATTGCATAACTGTGTATTTCTCCTTTCAATTCTGTCTATTTTTGCTTCATATATTTTGGGGTACTGTTGTTATATATGTATGTGATTATAATTGCTGTATCTTCTTAACGTTTTATTATTATTTTTGGCTGCGTTAGGTCCTCGTTGCTGTGCGCAAGCTTTCTCTAGCTGCAGCAAGTGGGGGTTACTCTTCATTGTGGTGTGTGGGCTTCTCATTGTGGTGGCTTCCCTTGTTGCAGAGCATGGGCTCTAGGCACGCAGGCTTCAGTAGTTGCAGCATGTGGGCTCAGTATTTGCAGCACATGGGCTCTAGGTGCACAGGTTTCAGTAGTTGCAGCATGCAGGCTCAGTAGTTGTGGCACATGGGCCCTAGAGCGCATGGGCTTCAGTAGTTGCAGCGCCTGGGCTCAGTAGTTATGGTGCACAGGCTTAGTTGCTCCATGGCATGTGGGATCTTTCCAGACCAGGGATCAAACCCGTCCCCTGCATTGGCAAGTGGATTCTTAACCACTGTGCCACCAGGGAAGTCCCTTCTTAACGTTTTAAAATAGATATGTGGGAGTTCCCTGGTGGCCTAGTGGTTAGGATTCCAGGCTTTCACTGCTGTGGCCCGGGTTCAATCCCTGGTCAGGGAACTGAGATCCTACATGTTACGTAGCGTGGCCAAAAAATAAATAGATAAATAAAATATGTAATGTCTTTGTCTCTTGTAACAATTGTGACATAAAGCCTATTTTGTTAAATACTATTATAGCCACCTCAGCTCTCTTTTGGTTACTACTTGCAAGGAATATCTGTTTTTATTTTTTCACTTCAGCCTATTTGTGTCATGGGATCTAAAGTGAGTCTCTTGTGGGAATTCCCCTGGTGGCCCAGTGGTTAGGGCTCTGCACTTCCATTGCAGGGGGCACAGGCTCAGTCCCTGGTCAGGTAACTAAGATGCCCACAAGCCACATGGTGCAGCCAAAAAAAAAAAAAAATCTGCTCAGTGAATATCATGTTTATTTTTTTAAATAAATAAAGTGAGTCTCTTAGAGACAAGATTTAGTGTGATTATTTTTTGAATTCATTCTGCCAATCTACCTCTTAATTTAATCCATTTAAGGGGATTACTGATAAGGAAATACTTACTCTGCCTTTTTTCTTTTTTTTGGCTGTACCACGTGGCATGTGGGACCTTAGTTCCTGAGCTGGGGTGCAGGGGTGCAGTGGAAGCATGGAGTCCTATCCACCACCGCCAGGGAATTTCCTCAAATATTTTTAAGTTATTTTCTTAAGTGGTTACCATGGGGATTATAATTAACATCTTAAATTTATAACAATCTCGTTTGAATTGATACTAAGTTACCTTCATTAGCATATCAAAATTCTGCTTGTATACAGTGCCTTCCTTCCTTTGTATTGCTACTGTCCTAAATTATGTACTTATACACTTTATATCTATTAACATAGATTTTATAATAGATGTTTTATGCATTTGCCTTTTAAATCACATAGAAAAAAGTTACTAACCAAAAATACAATATACTTGGCTTTTAAAAACAAAAGAAGGACTTCCCTGGTGGTCTAGTGGTGAAGACTCTGTGCTTCCACTATAGGGGGCACGGCTTTGATCCCTGGTCGGGGAACTAAGATCCTGCCTGTCTCTGGCGAGGCCAAAAAAACAAAAGAAAAAAGATTGGCTTTTCTATCTCTTATTTTAGTAACTTTTTTTTTTTTTTTTTTTCCACAATTACTGGCTTATGTGCCTTTTTCTAACATGGAGATTGGCAAGTTACAGCCCACAGGCCAAATCTGGCCCATGGTCTGATTTTTACAACCTGTGAGCTAAGAAAATTTTTTTTACATTTTAATTAGTAGAAAAAAATCAAAAGAGGAATAATATTTGATGACACATTAAAATTATATTAAATTCAAATTTCAGTGCCATATATAAAGTTTTACTGGAACACAGCCATGCTCATTCATTTACGTGTTGCTGGTAGCTGCTCTCATGCTACAATGACAGAGCTGAGTAATTGCAGCAGAGACCATATGGACCACAAATCCTAAAGTATTGACAATCTGGCCCTTTATAAAAAAGTTGGTTGATCCCTGTTCTAACAGAACAAGCTCCTGAAAAAAAGAACTATATCTCATAGGTATATCCCTGATATCTAATGAAGTAACTCTTAACAACTAACTAGTTGTTGAATATGATTAAACTATTACTACATCCACTATAAAGAACAACCATGCTTTGGTATAATAATTCAATAATAAACATATTTAAAAAAAACAATTTTGGTCCTCATTGAACTTACCCTGATTCAGTAACTGCAGATATCAATATGACAATTTATTTACTAACAGTAACAATAACAACAAATAACAATTACATAGCATCTAAGAGCGTGATATATCCTGCGTAACTGAAGCCCCCAAAATGATTTTACAAAGCTGTATTTCTAATAAAACCATCCTAAAAGTCAAGGTAAAGAGGTTCCTTGCCCAAGTTATTAAGTGAGAGGTAAAAATCAAAGAATAAAACAAATTGAGCTATACGATAATTTTGTCTGGCTTTATAAACTTGCACAAAAATAAAGTGGTTACTGTTGAGGGGAGGAAGGCTGAGGCAATAATTGGGAAAGGGCCTGAGGGGGATTTCTGGATTGCGGTTATGTTCCATTTTCTGATCTGGGTGATGGTTACATGACTGTATTCAATTTGTATTAATACATCAAGTTGTTATACTTAATAAAGTATATACTTTTCTGAATGTATGTTATGTTCCATAACCAAGTTTTTAAAAATCCACTGGGTAGCTGATTTCTAGAACTTTTTTTAATGAATTTATACAGTAACATATTCTAGTACCTCAACTCTCTTAATAAATTCTTCCTCAGATCTAAACTGTTTTCTTTCCTCCAACCTCTTAAAGTTTAAATCACATTGTAGAGTTTCTGATGTTTAACCTTTTATCCAAAAAATTTAACAGTGGTTACCTTGATCTTTTCTAAAAGACCATTTTAAAAAACATTCTTCAGACTTCATCCAAATATACATTTGTACCTCTGTCAAAAGAAGGAAATACTAGCAATCTGCTAGCAGTATAAATAGATACTAAAAAATCTAAAAAATAGAAGTTATACCATATATTTAAAGGAACATATACAATATTAATACCCTCAAACTTTTACATTCTATATTAGCATTAGACTAGCACTTTACCTTTACCAGCAACTCTATAGGAGTTTGTCACCAATCAATAACACACATTCTCAGTTCAAAGGCTCAACCTAAAAATTTACCTGTGTGTCCTCGGTCTCTGATTTAAAGAAGCTGTCCTGCCTGGACTATGCTGACTTCCAAGCCTAGCAGGACTTGTCATGTAGTCATTAGGAACTGTTGGAGGTTTAACAGGTTCCAGGGTTTTGTAAGGAGTATTTCGTCCCAATGTTCCCCGGCCTGACATGGGAGGACTCGGTGGTTTCTGAGTAGGAGGATTTGTTCTAGACAGTGTGCCAGTTCTTGCAGGCTGGTTATTTCCATGCTTGACACCATGGCCCACATCATCCAGAACTGTATAGTCAATAGGTTTCCGAATATACCTTACAGGACGCTCCATATTTGCAGGCGCTATTATTTTGTGAGTTCTTGATGTATTCTTATTTGTTGTCAAAATACCAATCTCTCTTCGAGCCACTTTCTCTTTATGAATGTCCACAGTCTGTGAGATATGATTGATGGAAGACTCCATTCTCCGAAGCTGAGAGGCTTGGATGTCCAGCAATTGGAGTACATTGTTAGCCAATGCATTTATTTGATAAGCAACACTAGCTAGGGATTGGGTTGTGTAGGCTTTGGTCTCTTCTAAAGCTTTTCTCTTGTCTGTAGCCTGTATGTAGTTGTTTTCACAGTAGTCCGCCACCCGGGTCAGATTCTGATAACTCTCTATCAGCGCCCTCTTGCCAGACGGGATCTCCTCCTCTAGTAACATCTGCAGCTCTGCCATTTTCCACCCCTCTGCATCGCTTCCTCTCGCGTTAAAGAGACAGAGGCTGCAAGGTCCGCGGAGGTTCCGAGCACCTCACAGCCCGGATACAAACCGCCTGCCCGCCCTCCCGCCTGGTATTGTGTCTATTTTAGTAACTTTTACCAGTGTTCTTTATTTCTTTGTCTGGCTTTGAGTTACTGTCTACTGCCTTTTCATTTTATTCTGAAATACTTCCTTTAGCATTCCTTGTAGGGCACTAGTCTTACCATTTACTATGCTGTTATCTGTAATGCCCAGTACCTAACAGTAATTTGAAATCCAAACAAATCCTCAATACACAGAAACCCACAACTGAGTGCTCTACTTTAATATCCTAGGCAGTATGGAATTATACACACGATAAGAAGAGAAAACATCCCTCTAACCCTCCCTTAAGTTAAGAGGAGACACACAAAGTGCACGTGTTGCATTTCAGTTATGTCAAAAGATAATACAAATCTGTTGGTCAGGTATATCCCTGTTCAATGATTAATACATGGTGCACCTTTTTTCCCCAATTATTTTATTTTTAAAATCTTTTTATGTTGCTAGTGCCAGGTAATGGGTTAAATAGTGCATATTCAAAAATCAATCGCATCCACTTCTACCAAAAAAATATGTAAAAGATAATTATTTCCTTTCATTGAACCAGTATATCACAGTCCACTGGAAAACCAAAGGACTGACTGATAGAGCAATCCTTAAGAATTTTACCTACAGCATGTGCACTTCGACACATTTTCTTAGCTTTGAAAAAGTTACTCTAGAAAAGGAATTCAGTAGACTGACTTGTAAATAACCATCTCAGATTTTAAATTCTACAAAAATCAGCCACTGCTGTTGGGATAGGTTGAGATAAGGCTAAAATTTTTTTTCCAAGTTAATATATTGAGAAAATAGAACCATAATTCAGTATCTTTTATTATTTTTTTAAAGCAAACCAGTGAAGGAAAGGACAAAAACCTTTGGTTCACTTACGTATTTATGAATGGACAAAATTTATAATGCAAATTCACTCATTAAAAAACTTCGGTACAAATGACAAGACTACAGGTAACCCAATTGTCTTTGTTTCACATGGAGATCTTAGAGACTCAATTCATTTCAAGAGACCTAAGTACGAGTACTCCAAGTAAGTATTACACAAATTGGAAGCATCTTGGATTTTGTTAAGTATATTTCAATACATAAATTTGTATGCATGCTTTAAACAAACAGTCTTTCCCTTGCTTCAAGGCTTAATCACATCAGTCTGCCATCTGATGATGGTTAGGGAAGACTGATACTCTCTTTTTCTGCTAAACATGCTGCTCTGATTCAGGAGCTGTATATTTCCCACCAAGCAGGTAAGAGAAGCAACAAAAGCATACACCTACTCCCCTAATGAAACACAAGCTGTCATTCAGCTTTATCAATGAAACCAAATCAAAGAGAAATGAACTACAATTTACAACTTCAGATTTATTTTTCCAAACTAACCTTCAGGTACATTCCTCATTCCAAACAAAACCTACACTCTAGTCACCCTGAGCAAGCCATCATGTCTTTGTCTAACGCCATTGCCTCAGACTGGAATGCATTTGCACTCCATGTCAATATGATAAATGCACAGGCTCCTTTCAAACCCCAACTTAAACGTCACTCCTTCAGCGCCACCCAAACTACATGCCCACAGGACTTTTTTCTCTATTCAAACGTTTATTAAATATTTCCATGTATTGTATTGAATAGTATACAGACCAATCCCTCCTTAACAGAAATTTTAACAAACACTTACTGAATGCTAAGCATATGGTAGGTTTAGTGCTAGGTTCTAGAATTTTTTAAATTGAATAACAATACAATCTGCTGCCTGTCAAAAACTCCCCAACTACAATAAAAAACATACATAGTAAAGGTAGCATTTAGGGTAAATGGATAAGGAAAAAAGAGAAAAAAGACCAGAATGAAAATCAATGCAATGGATGAAAATCAATTCTACACACACTCTTCCATAAAACTGAAGAGGAGGGAATATTGTCCAACATATTTTGTAAGACCAGCACTACACTAACACCAAAACCACAGACCAATAACCACTGGTATGTATATTTTACCAAACACACAAAAAAACTTAAAAAAAAGAAGAGTAGGCTTACTGAACCCAAAGCTAAAGCTGAAAGTGGTAATGACTAGTCAGTCAGTAAGAAGATGAGTAAGGATTCCATATTTCTAGGCTACCTATTGATACTATACTGCCAGTTAATTAAATGTGAATTTAAAGCTTTTTACAAGCTGTTACCTGTGAGATATGATTGATGGAAGACTCCATTCTCCGAAGCTGAGAGGCTTGGATGTCCAGCAATTGGAGTACATTGTTAGCCAATGCATTTATTTGATAAGCAACACTAGCTAGGGATTGGGTTGTGTAGGCTTTGGTCTCTTCTAAAGCTTTTCTCTTGTCTGTAGCCTGTATGTAGTTGTTTTCACAGTAGTCCGCCACCCGGGTCAGATTCTGATAACTCTCTATCAGCGCCCTCTTGCCAGACGGGATCTCCTCCTCTAGTAACATCTGCAGCTCTGCCATTTTCCACCCCTCTGCATCGCTTCCTCTCGCGTTAAAGAGACAGAGGCTGCAAGGTCCGCGGAGGTTCCGAGCACCTCACAGCCCGGATACAAACCGCCTGCCCGCCCTCCCGCCTGGTATTGTGTCTATTTTAGTAACTTTTACCAGTGTTCTTTATTTCTTTGTCTGGCTTTGAGTTACTGTCTACTGCCTTTTCATTTTATTCTGAAATACTTCCTTTAGCATTCCTTGTAGGGTAGATTTACTGCTGATGAACTTCTTCTACTTTTTTTTTTTTTGGCCACACTGCGTGGCTTGTGGGATCTTAGTTTCCCAACCCGATATCGAATCTGGAGCCCTGGCAGTGAAAGTGCCAAGTCCTAACCACTGGACTGCCAGGGAATTCCCTCTCCTTCATTTCTTTTCTTTCTTTCTTTCTTTTTTTTTTTTTTTTATTTTTGGCTGTGTTGGGTCTTTGGTGCTGGACACAGGCTTTCCCTAGTAGTAGTGAGCGGGGGCTACTCTTCGTTGTGGTGCGCGGGCTTCTCACTGCAGTGGCTTCTCTTATTGCAGAGCAAGGGGTCTAGGCACACAGGCTTCAGGAGTTGTGGCGCATGGGCTTAGTTGCTCCGCAGCATGTGGGATCTTTCCAGACCAGGGATCAAACCCATGTCCCCTGCATTGGCAGGCAGATTCTTATCCACTGCACCACCAGGGAAGCCCTCCTTCATTTTTGAAGGGTAGTTTTGTTGGCTATAGAATTCTTTGTTGATGGTTTCTTTTCTTTCAGCACTATGCTATGCCACTGTCTTTTGACTTCCCTGGTTTCTAATGAGAAACTGGCTGTTGACCTTATTGAGAATCTCCTGTACAAGATTAGTCACTTCCCTCTTGCTGTTTTCAAGATTCTCTCCTTCTTTGGCTTTGACAGCTTGATTATAATGTATCTCTTTGAATTTACCCTACTTAGTGTTCATTGAGCATCTTGGATTCCTATCTTTCTTTAAATTTTGGAAGTTTTGGGTCAAGCTATTTACAAGTCTTCTTCAGCCTTGATTTCCTATTTACATAGAGCCTAAAAAGCAGTCAGAGGTGAAAGCTTAGGGTCTTCTCCAGTGTTTGCTGAACATGTGTCTAGCTCTGGATATGCTAGCTCTGGATATGTTTGTGCCCTTGTGTACTGATTCCTCAGTATACATGGGAGATTTTCAAAGCCTCTATTCCCCCATATATCTCCTTTCCAAGTCTCTTCTAGGCTTTTCAGTCTGTCTGCTGCTTGTCCTGTCTGTTGTCCCTTAACCCAGGCAGCTGTGGACAGTACATACCTTTAAATATTTTCCACAAACACTAGCTGCGAGGACACTCCAGCTCTAAGGGAATGCTTGGGAGAGTCAAACTAAGGTAAGCCCCTGAGCCAATTCCTCAGGAAGTCACCAGACAGGTCAAAAATGCACAACTGTAATGCTTTAAGAACAAGGTCTGTACTGCCTCCTCTAATAGCAACAAGTCACACCAGGAACATGGGTCACCATCCCCTTGGCCATCACTGAAGTAGAAAATGTGAGATGGCTGTGGCAAAAATACCACAGTGCTCTCTTATCAGAATTTAGCAGCTTCTTTCTTCATTAAACACCCCTCCAGCTGATTCTGACAGGTTTTGCCAGCTAAATTATTGCTTCAGTGGAGAGAGAGATTCTTGGGGCTCCCTATTCTGTAACTCTCAGTGACATTCTACCTCAGTGGTGTTTTGTACTTTTCAGAATATAAGTTTTGCACTTATTTTGTTAAATTGATTCCTAAGGTTTTTAAATTCTATTTTATTGTAGATGGAATTGTTTTCTCAATTTCATTTTCTATTTATTCACTGCTACTGTACAGAAATGCAACTGTTTTATATATATTAGTCTTATATCCTGAAAACTTGCTGAATTCATTTGTTACTTATAATAGCTTTTTTTGTGGATTCCTCAGGATTTTCTATATATAAGATTGTGCAATATTTAATATAGTTTTATTTCTTCCTTTAAAATCTAGATACCTTTTATTTTTTTTTCATGTCTAATTGTCCTGGATTAAATCTCCAATAAAATGTTGAATAGAAGTAGTAAAAATGTACATCCGTGTCTTATTCTTGATCTTAAGTGGGTCTTGCTGATCTCCAGTCTTTGCCATTAAGTATAATGTTAGTTAGGGTTTTTTTGGTAGATGTCCTTTAACTAGTTGAGGAAGTTTCTTTGTATTCCTAGTTTGCTGGAATACTTCATGTTCAACATGAAGAAGTGCTCAGTTTTGTCAAATGCTTTTTTTCTGGGTTTATTGAGATGATTGTGTGGTTTTGTCCCTTATCCTATACTACATTAATCGATTTTCAAGTGTTAAACAACTCACATTCCTGGAATAAATCCAAGTTGGTTACAGTGTATAATCCTTTTGTTATGCTGCTAAATTCAGTTTGCTAGTATTTTGTTGAGGATTTTTGTCTCTGTATTCATTAGAGATATTG